TGCCAGACATTGGAACAGAATTGGGGGGAAAAATAAGGGTTTTTGGAGGGGTGTAAATGACCATCCAAGAGAGATATGTTAAAATAATTGCTTCAACATTTATTAGTGTTAAGTACTATTGTAAATACATTCATGATTCAATACAAATATTGAGCTTTTATATAATAAAACAAAATAAAACAGATCCCTGCAGAGGATATGTTTGTATATTCATTGGTTATACAGCTCTAAAATTCATTTGGTCCGACATATCATGATGTTATTCAATGTTTGTCCAGATGTGGTTACATTATTATATAGCAAGAGATAATAATCCTAAGCGTGGCTTATCTTAATAGGCGCCGGCGCGTTTCGCCATTAGCTTCATCAGGGGACCCACTGAGGATGAATCTATTGATAAGAAGATTGTCTTCATTTACATTTGCAAAATACATCACATCAAACATTCATTAATGCATCTGTTTATATCCATAATTCATACCGAATCACACTTCAATATGTCACCCCAAGTGGGGCAGATAGATCATACATAATGTGTATCATGTATTATATATAGTTGCTCTGAGGATATCTGGTCCTCCATTACTCACCATGCAGGGTTGGCTTGCGATCTGAGGGAGAAGTGTCCGGAAAGCCGGAGAGGGGCGGGCGTGGGATATTCCCACCGTTAGCTACACGGCCTCCCTGGCCGTGTGGGAGATGCAAATACTGTTGTTTTATCGCGGAAGGAACCATGATTCCCCTACCGAATAATGAGAAACAATGGCGACTGAAACATACGGTGACATGCCAAACCAACAATGTCATATACATGATGAGCTGCGTCTGCGGAGCATACTATGTGGGAAAGACCTTTAGGAAATTATGGAATAGAATATATGATCATACATATCTAATAAAAAATGGGAAACTCACTACCCCCATTAGCCGACACATAGGACTTCACCACAATTTCAATCTAGCGGCTATTAAATTCTATGTCCTAGATCATGTCCATGAAGAGAAAAGAGGCGGAGACATAAACAAAAAACTGCTACAGTCGGAAGCACGATGGATTTTCAAATTAAAATCCACCGCATACCCGGGTCTGAAGGAGACACTTAGCTATAAGTCGTTCCTGTGAGCAATAAGCAAAAAAGAAATATTCATTCTATATATTTACTGTTAGATTTTCTTCTTGTTAAAAGTTAGAAATCAGGCGACGGGACACACTACAAGAGTCCCAGAAATCCTGGGAGATCATTTTGTCGTAGCCTATAATTCCATCCTGCAGGGTCATGCACGGGACTCCTTACGAGCCCAGATATCTGTCATACCGAAAGAGGGCGAGGACCCAGCGCAATGCGCTAGCTACAGACCCATCTCGTTGCTGAATATTGACCTAAAGTTATTCACTCGTATCCTGGCCTCCAGCTTGCTCCCCTTTTTGGACGAGTTTGTGGATTGCAACCAGGTTGGCTTTGTCCCTGGCCGTGAGGCCCGGGGGAAAACACCATTAGGACCCTGACTGTGACCCATCTAGCTTGGTCCATGTCTATGCCTCTTCTCCTGCTGTCCTTAGATGCGGAGAAAGCATTTGACAGGGTGGACTGGACGTTTTTGAGGGACACGCTAATACATGTGGGTGTGGGCATCAGAGGGCATATGAGGCAATGGATAGGCTCGCTATATTCGGATCCTACGGCAGCGGTCAGAGTGAATGGAGTCCTGTCTGAACCGTTCGACATCTCGAATGGCACTCCTGGCGAGTGCCATTCGAGATGTCGAACGGTTCAGACAGGTCTCCATTCACTCTGATGCCCTCTGTCCCCCCTTATATTCCTTCCCACCTTGGAGCCACTCCTCAGAACGATACAGGAATCTCCGGATATCAGAGGACTTGAGTCCAAGACGGGACACCATAAAGTTGCTGCTTATGCGGATGATCTACTACTTTATGTGTTGAGCCCGGAACCATCCCTACCCAATATTTTGAAGTCTCTAGAGGCCTATGGGCGTCTATCAAATTTTAAACTCAACCTCAGTAAATCAGAGGCACTTAATATTTCAATCCCTGCCCCCCGCCTATGTAGCCTCCAGATGGCCTTTCAGTTTAAATGGGCGACGTCTCACATCAAATATCTGGGGGTCTCTATCCCAGCGGACATTAAGGACACCTTTGCTTTGAACCTCATCCCCATTCAGAAATGCATCATCTCAGACCTGAAGTCCTGGGACCGCTCCACGTTTACATGGATGGGTCGCAATAGCATTCTAAAAATGACAATACTTCCCAGATTACTTTATTTCCTCCAGACGTTGCCCATTGCCATCCCTGCAACGAATCTAAGACAGATGCAATCTCACTTTTTGGCCTTTCTATGGGCTAACAAGAGGGCTTGCTTGCGCCATCAGATACTGTCCGGACCTCGAACAGCGGGAGGGTTGACCTTTCCAGACCCCGCCCTATACTATAGAGTGACTCACCTGTCTGTGATTGTAGACTGGTGCTGTAACGCAGGTCAGAAACTTTGGGTAGCCTTGGAACAGGAAGATTGCCCTTGGCCACTGCATGGTATTCCCTGGATTTCTCCGAAATTGCCACTCTCCTCCTGGTCGAACCCACTGGTCCGTGCCACGATGCTCGTGGCGAACAAGGTGCTCCCCTCCCCTGGCCTATCTCCTCTATCATCGCCCTTGACACCAGTAGTGGGGTGCCCTCATTTCCCTCCGGGTCTGCATAACCCATAGGCCAGAGCCCTAGAGACCTCAGGGATGACTAGACTATACCACTTCAGAGACACAGACCGCTGTAAACAAGTTGCTCAGATCCAGACTCTCACTGACCCACCCTTGCGGCTGTGGTGCACCTTACAGGTGAGACACTATCTATGTTCCTTCTCGGGAAAGATGTGCCCTCAGAGAAGTTGACGGATTTTGAGACCATATATTTGAAGGCAGAACCAACTAGACACACCCTGTCTCTGCGTCACACCCTGAACTCCCTGCGCAATCCCCCAGACCTTTCCCACCCGTACTTTGTAAGACAGTGGGCCGCTGATCTAGGAGTAGATTTTACTCCTCACCAGGTAGACCGTATGATCTACTTTGCCCTAAGGTCCTCGGTAGCGAACAAATATAAAGAAGTGGGGTACAAGCTTTTGACCAGATGGTACAGAGTGCCTACGACCCTCCATCTTATGTACCCGTCTGTGTCCAAAGTTTGTTGGCGCTGTGGGGAAGAGCCAGGCATGTGTTCTTGTCCTGCTCGAAAGTCGGACCTTTCTGGTCCCAGATTGCCACACTGATAGGAAAAATTACAGGCCTTACACTCCCATTCACACCCAGTGTATTTCCTCCACTTGGCTCCGCTTTCATGAAAAAATTATCGCCACTCATCACTGATTCACATGCTGAATGCAGCAAGGCCCTGCATTCCGGCCCTGTGGAAGCAGGCCCTCCAGCCGTCCGTCGAGATGTGGGCTAGACGAGTGGAGGAGATCAAACTGATGGAAGACCTGTCCTCATTAAATGGGACCCAGGCCAGATTCATTGCTACATGGGGTACATGGTACCTGTTCAGAGACTCAGCTGACTTCTCTAATGTGTGCCGGGACTGAAGAGAGGGATGGAACCGCTCATGGTGGGGGCACTGTTGCCCTGCCGGGGTACGGCTAAGAGTAACCCATGCCTAAGAGTAACCCATGTGTGCCGGGACTGAAGAGAGGCCTGGAACTGGCCAAAACCTGGAATCTCCCTCTCCTTGTGTGTTTTATGTCGGTCACTACTTTGTTTTATGTTGTCTGTTTTGTCTGTCTTTGTGTACTCCTCAGGAGGGGACCGAAATGGTACTGGCCTCCCTCAATAGTGGGCTGTGCCATGCGGTCTACCAAATGGTGATTTTTTATTTCCTGTTTTCTAAATAAAAAATGTCTTAAGAGATGGGAAGAGAGTACGACCTAACCTGAACCGTCATCATTTATATATACTATATACTATGTATGTTCTGATACAGAATGGGATGGTCTCAATTCCTTTGTCTTAGCCTTTGATGTCAGGTTTATTGACTTGGTTTGATGTGAGGCCATGTGGCCCATATTTTTGCTTATTCTCTCTGCTGTATCCCACCCTATTGTTCATAAATAAAGAATTTGAAAAAAAAAATGCATCCCAATGTATCCCTATGTGTTTTATGGGGTACAGTTCTCACGTGCGCAGTCTGTTCAGTTCCGGACAGAAAAAATACTGCATGTCACGGATACGGTCCGGAAATGCACGAACGCGTCAAAAAACGCACCTTAAACGCACTGCAGCTAACATACTGATAGCCCCACTCCAACAAGAAAAAATGTATTAATTTTTTTTAACTGGAACGCAGCAAAAATGCGTCAAAAGCGCGTCAAAAACACATAGCACCGCGTCTGGTCCGGACATCGTGTGAACAAGCCCTAAAATTAAATACATTTTTGGATGTTTTCCATTATTTATAAACCTCACCTGCTTACCTTTTAAATATACAGTAGCTGTAGCAACAATAATAACATGCGCTCAGACTGAGCTATTTACAATTGAGGGGCCACGCCTATTCAGTGGAACTCCCACTCTCGGATGTGCTAATTGTATACATCTATTTACGGTTTTTATATGGATGAATTTTAGCATATTTATATATATATATATAGACATTATGAATTGAGTATATTAAAAATGGAATTTTATTATATATATATGAATCAATTGACTTTATTATTGGATCAATTCCCTGCTATTCTCCAGTGGTCACCACAAAGCCCCTTTCTTTCTCTTTCCCCCTTTTGATATATATTGCATATATAGGGGTGGTGGCCCAGTTTGTGTGATGGTTCCTAATCTTTGTATTACATGTGTTGTATTATGGCTGAAGAGGAATCCTAGTTGCTTTTGAATGTTCTCTGTTAGAAAATACATTTTAGCACCACATTTTCTGCTTGACTTCTGTAAATTAACTATAATACAAATGTCTTTTCCTTTGCAACATACAGGAGTATATCCTCAAGGGTGTTGTGAATGCAGCTCTTGGACAAGAACTGGGCTTGGTGAGTTATTACACAGATTAATATAGTAGATATACATTTTAGCTTTTTGATGCTGTTCAGACATTCAATTGTTCCGAGGTTTCAACAGATATTTAACAAATACTCAGCAGTAATTATTTTAAAATGATTTATAAGCCAACACATGATGAGTTTTGTAGTACATTTATGTGCTATTTGATTCTAGGATGGTTGGTTATTTTACCTCTGTTTGCTTTTACTTTGAACCGTAGAAGTTTTTTAGATAGTATATGTATTATACTCTGATTGTATTGATTACATTTCTCAAAGATCTTTATTGGATTTTAAAATCCTTCTGCAAAAGTAGCTGATATATAGCCAGCCTTATAGTAATACAAAGATGCTAATTGGTATTTACATGTCAGTGATATTCTTAATGCTATCTTTATAGTAATGATTGACTGTTTTCCGGTTACAGTATAGGGTTTTGATGTGTTTTTTGAATATTGCAAAATGCCATAAATTCTCCATCTCTATTATATTTAGGTAACCATGTAATTAAAGATTGTCCATTATCCCTAGTTAATAGTAGGGTTGCCACCTGTCCGGGATTCACCCGGACAGTCCGGGTTTTAAATGTTGTGTCCGGGTTTCATGGCAGCTGAAACCCGGACACAAGATGTCAGGCAGACAGGGGCAACCAAAATTAAGATAGGGGCTACTGGCCCCCCACTGAAAATAGTCTTGAATGTGATATTTACATATGAATGGATGGAGCTATTTACATATGAATAAGCCGCAACTCATTCTCCCCCCAAAAAATTCTGTGTGTCGCTAGAGTGTTTGGGTTTCGATGAAAGAAAAGGTGGCAACCCTAGTTAATAGTCAGTCTTGAATTCCAAACTAGTACATGGGTTGAAGAGAAGGCAAAAAGTATGTGATACATTGTGGCCAACTAAAATAATAAAAGCATTCAGAAATGTAGGTGTCTGATACAGTCATGTAAAAAAGTAAACAAGTAGGTACAGTAAACTCTGTTCGGTATTCAGCTAACCAGAACTCCCATCAAACCGGCAAAAAAAAAATCCTGTGTACTCACTGTTATGCCAATCCGCCACCTAGGAGGGGGAGAGAGGGCTCTGGAGCATGGAAAGGTACACAAATGGGCTGAAAAGTGCTGGATTATCCTGGGAATGAGTGTCTTAATGATCTCTAAAAAGTGCTGTGTTATCCTGGAAACAGGTGTCTCATTGATTGTTTGTGAAAGTGCTGTGTTATCCTGTGAACAAGCACCACCAAGTGATCACCCCCAGTACTGCAATATATTGCTAATGGTTTAGAGTACAATATACTCTTATAGTATGGGGTATATAATTAGTTAAATCCATTTTTAATAGTAACTCTCAAGCAACCAGAAACTACATTTATCTGGAATCTACCAATCCCCGTGGATGCCAGATAACAGGGAATTTACTGTACCTCCTATAGAAGCAAGTTTCAACAGGCAAACATTAGAGCTTCATTCAAACAGTGCCTAGAGATAAAGGTGATACCCTTGCAATCATTTATTCAACAATTATGTCAATAGATGTAACAGTGTACTGTGAAAAAAACGTAAGTACACCTGTGGCCTTGGAGGCTGGTATTGCACTCTGTTTAGCAGAATTTGTTTTGTAAGTTTTTTCAGTAATTGCTCAGCAGTCTCTATATTCAACTTTTTTTGACCACTGCTCCATAAAAAGAAATGTTTTGTGTTGTCAAATGTCTGTGGGTTTCCTTGTATGAACTACCCATTTCAAATCCCCCACAACATTATAATAGGATGTAAATCTCTTCAACTATTAGTACGTCGGAGAAATATCCGTTAATCTCCAAGTAAACTCGAAGGAAGATATATTTAGAGGCTCATAGTGTAGTATGTTAAAATGTTCTTTATTAAAAAAAAGTTACAAACACTCACATTTAAAAATAAACAATCCTGTTTCTATCTGCCACTTGTACAATGTATTTCTCTGCTACTCTCCGTCCGTGGTGAAGACAGCATGTGCCTGTCTGTCTAGGCGTTTCGTCACCAGGACTTCCTGGTCCTGAATCCTTGTTTTTATCATGCATTCTATCCTCTCGTAATCCTATTTAAGCTGCATTATAATTACTAACCACTAGAGGTCTTTAAAGTGCATTAGATATTGTGCTTCTGAATACAAAATAACAAGCATTTCTAAATATATCATATAAAATCGTTACATAAGGGAGTAATATAAAAACGTTATATACGGGAGTGATATAAAAAAAGATCAAAATCTATGAGAGATGAATGAAAAGTCTTAAATATCTACAATCTGTATAATTCATTTCAAGTAATAAAGTGTGACAATCCATGGTTTTAAATATGATATTCCAATGTATAAATAAATAACTATTGTGAGGTTTGGGGAAGTTAGCACAAATGGTGAGCGCTTAAGGAACAGTCTTGAAGCCATTTTAAACATAAACAGGACAGTCTTTTATCTAATTCAGCAACAGAAAACAAAGCTTCAACGATAATACAAGGTCCGCTTGTATTTCAGCAAAACTGAAGGTATGACAATCCCACCAACTCCACGTTGTTGCACATACTCCTTGTGTCCCAGTCCGTGGACATTGGGGTATTTCTTAACAGAGCCACATTCCACCTTTCGTGGCACTCTTAAGCACATCCCTCATGTGTCACCGGCTCTCTGTCTCCTCAGCTGTCTTCTAGGTGCCACCAGCACACACAGCCACCTGGCTCCCCTCTGACGTCTGGGTGAAGTCCTCCTGACTCCTGAACACCTCTGTTCCTCTTCCCAGCTAGAGCCCAGAACACTAGCCAGCACACTTCCCATAAGTCCAGTGCACAGGTGTGCAATTAGGTGCTGGCCACTACTAAACAATGGACCCAGGAATGGAGATTTCATCCCTCCCAATTCTCTTAGAAATCTCCTAGTTCCAGGATCCCATGCCAAATCCAGATTCCTGGGAAGAGCCACAAAGTCCGCTCTTTCCCAGTACAAGAATTTGCCTCCTGGAACCGCTCAGCCACTCTGGCTGAGAGTCCTGGGTGACTACAACCCCCAGTTCTACCGTGGGACTGCCACACAATACCACACTATATAAATTTAAAACCTAAATGGGATATCAGTTGTAACTAGAGTATTAAACATTATTTAGGAAAAAATATAGATCAATTTCTATATTAAGACATTTCGGTTTCATTGCATCCATAGTGTATATCCACTTTGATTTGTTCAGAGATATCGTTCTTTTTAAATTAGTTCCTCTCCATTGTTTAGTAAACCTGTCAATCCCCACAACTCTTAGCCCCTTTAGGATTCTTATAGTGGAAAAGTTTAAAATGTTAGGGGACATTACATTTAGTGTCCCTTTTCTTAATGTTTTTAATATGTTCTCGTATCCTCACTTTAGTGATCTTGTTGTTCTACCTACATATTGGAGGCCACATGGGCACTCCAGTAGGTAGGTCACATATTTAGTATCGCAGGTTACATAGTTACATAGTTACATAGTATTTGGGGTTGAATAAAGACATACGTCCATCAAGTCCAACCCATATAGGTCCACGCATCATCTCATTCTTAGGGATACTGGTATCCCTGGATATTACGGTCCCTCAAGAAATTGTCCAAACGTTTCTTGAACAAATCTACACTCTTGGCTGAAATCACTGCCGATGGCAGTGAGTTCCAGACCTTAACCGCTCTTACTGTAAAGAACCTTCTTCGCCCATTGTGCTGGAATTTTTTCTCCACCAACTTTAGGTGGTGGCCTCTAGTCTTTGTAATGGAGTTAATCTCAAACAGTTTGTTGCCAATGTTGTTGTCAGCATTGAACATCTTGTACATGAAAATCATATCCCCCTTAATCTCCTTAATTCCAGCGTAAACATGTTTAAGGTCAGAAGCCTTGGGGGTGATTTACTAACCTAAACACACGCACGCACTATGTGCGTGTGATTTTTACACAGCAAAACGTATTTATCAACCAAAAAGTCTCTAAAAGCATATTTCCACTAATGCCATATATGGAAAAATCATGCACATGATGCATATATAATGCTGCTTCACAGTTTAGACAAAAATGGTTAGCTCATGCATTTACATTCCTGCATTCATCAACGCAAGCAACACAATGTAGAGCTAATTTACATAACATCACATTGCAATTCATGGAGGGCTTTGCACAACACACCTGCTGGGTGTGTACACACTACAAAGGTGTCCAGATTCCACCAATAGATCATGCTGGGAGGGAACACACTACAGAGGTGTATACTTGTTCGTGGCGTGTTTATAAGGTTAGTAAATCAACCCCCTTGTCTCATAACTCTGGTCCTCCATTCCCCTAATTAGTTTTGTTGCCCTCCGCTGGACTCTCTCCAGTTCAAGGACATCCCTTCTCAGTACCGGCGACCAAAACTGGACCGCGTACTCCAGATGTGGCCGAACCAATGATCTATGTAGAGGCACAATTATAGACTTGTCCCTGCAATACATCCCCTTCGTAATACAGGACAAGACCCTGCTAGCTTTGTTTACCGCAGCTTGGCACTGCAAGCTACCATTCAGTTTGTGGTCTACAATGACCCCCAAATCTTTTTCTATTTCTGACTTCCCTAGCGGCATACCCATGATTGTATAGCCTATTTGTTTATTTTTATGTCCAAAGTGCATTACTTTGCATTTATCGACATTAAACCTCATCTGCCATAGTATTGCCCACTCCCCTATTTTATCCAGGTCCTCCTGCAATGTTATATTGTCACGATCCGTTTCTAGTTTATTCCCTCCCCGATGTCATTAATTAATAGGTTGAACAGTATCGGACCCAGCACAGATCCCTGAGGCACACCGCTCATTTCACTGGCCCAGTCCGAAAAGGTGCCATTTACAGACACCCTCTGGACGCGTTCCCATAGCCAGTTCTCTATCCACGTACACACCACCTCATCTATGCCCATCGCCCTCAGCTTGTGAAGTAAGCGCTTGTGTGGTACCGTATCAAAT